GGTAACTGGTAATATTATTTTTTTTTTGAGATATATACAAGAGTTGTTACATTCTTGTACAGCCACTAGTACGCGTAGCGTTTCGGGCAAGTCCTTAATCCTATGGTCCCTGGAATACGATCCCCTGCCGAGAAAAATCGTTTTTTCATCCAAGTACACATTTTACTGTTGCGTTAAACAGAGGCTACAGTTAAGGAATTGCGCCCAGTAAATCCTCCCCGGCCAGGATACGAACCCATGACATAGCGCTCGCGGAACGCCAGGCGAGTGTCTTACCACTACACCACGGAGACTGCTAGACTGATATATCACATATGTACTAAATCACATTCAACATATTGACTTTAAGCATTAAGTCATATATGTGCTGTCTTGTGTGAGAACGGGTTGCAGTCTGCTGATCTGCAAGCCATGAGATCTAGTTCTTTCCAAGCTTGCCAGGTTCAGGTACTATTTAAACAATGATTGTGTACATAATATAATAATTATACATGAACAAATATATAACATTAAATTATTCACTTACCTTTTAGAAGTACAGGCTGGTCTTGATAACCCAGAAGCAACCCCTAAACTGACCTTGGAAGTCCTCAATAGTTAGTGCTATTCTCTCAACTACAGCAGACTGTAACTGTGCACCACCAGCACCCAGCTCCAGGATACAAATGCTGAATAAATAATTGGTAAACAGCATCCTCATGCCTGGAAGCTTTCAATGTTTTTGTCACCTCTTTCCACCACTGATCTCCACTTTATTCGCAAACTAAATTAGCTGCTTATGCTTTTTTCAATCGGGAATGGCACTAGGATCAATGCCATACTTCTCTGTAAGCCACTTGTCTCCCTAGCCACAATCACACTTCTTTAACCCTTATATACCCCCTTATGCTAATCAGTTTAATTTAAAAAAATATTCGAATTATGCCAAAATTACTTAAAAATGTTAAACAAATCTCCAACTTATTGGCTTCAGTGTCGTGAAACTGTCATCAAAATATTTTCAGAAATTGATTTTAGACAAATATAAAAAAAAGAATATTTTGTTGATAAGGAGAACAGCTCCTATTAACTGGAACTGAGGGATAATGCAATAATAAAGAGATGCAAGCACCTGTCCGATGCACAAAGAAGAAGAATAGTAGTAAGAAGTGTCTAAAAAGTGGATATACAGCAGCTGCCTTTGTGGCATTGGTGGCTTTGTTTATTATTTGAATTTGTTGTAACCTTTGATGTTGTATGCATCCTGGAGAATGCATACCCCTACCTAACTATGTGAAGACAGAATTAAATTGATCAACAAATAAATCGGTCATAACCCTCAGAACTTGGGACTAAAAACCCAATAGTATTTAATAAAAATATAGAATATCTGACAGGAACATGACAGTGCCAGATGAAAATCCATTCTGGTACAACAGGGATTATTATAAACATCCCTGTTGGGTCATAATAGTGCTAGGGAGCTACTATACTGAAGAAATTCTTCTGCTTATAAATTACTATACATTTTTAAAACTGTTCAATCTTATCCAAAGTGATCACAGATTGTTCACTCTCTCAAAAGCCTCTCCAAGCACTACTTAACACTTTCCTGGATTTTCGACTTGGAAACACGGGCGTTTTGCTTAACCGCTTGTCGGATCACGACGTAAATTTACCGACCGTGTTTTATATTGGGTATTTACTACTCGATCGACTTTGGGTTTGTATGAATATGTTTGCCATTAAATTTTCGTTTTCTCTAATAGGCACAGTGCCTATTTGAGAAAACGGCAATGTATTGTTACTTAGAGGAGAGACTATTGAATTGGTGACACAACGAGGGTAATCGCGCACTCCACACACTCTTGAGTTGGCCGCAATCATGATTCTACATTTATATGCATATGTCTGTGTAGAGAATTTTATTCCGAACACTATACAAACAAAAAAACCGGAGTGAATCAAGTATAAACTTGAAAAAACATGAGCAAAGTAAAAACTTTTTACGCTCACGGGTACAAACACGCCTAAGATTCGCGTAAGATTTTATTCGCCGCAAATTTATTTGACGCTCTGTTGGCCAATTCTACCCATGTTCTTATAGAACTTTCTATTGCGAACACATTGCTATAAAAATGAAATACGTAGCTCGAGAAATAATGTCATGACAGTGAAATAAGTATAAACTTTCAAAGCGCTGCATCAACCCAGTGTCGTCGCTGCTGAAATCACGGCTAACGCTTCGCCCAGTTCCCACACTCGTGCGGAACATAATTAGACATTGATAGGCATATGTTTGGGTGGGGAATTTTATTGCAAGTTCAGTGATATCAAAATAAGCGCTGTAGGATGACTGTGAGGCTGGCAACAAACGAAAGAGTATGAACATTTACTTCCTGTTTGGGTGTCACGGCGAGTCATCTTCGTGTTTATTTACTTCGTGGTGGGATAGCAAATGCTTTGGTGACATTTTATGCATATGATCTTGTAGAGAATTTTATTGCCAACGCATTGATACCAAAATGAAAAACGTAGCTCGAGAATTGATGTTAGGAGCGTGAAAAGATTATAAACTTTTTTGTGTTTATGCTTGAGCGCCCAGAACGCCGCGCGCACAACCCACTTTTTTTTCATTCTAAACTAAACGCACTAAAGTGTTAAGTGTCACAAGGATCACCAAGTAGCACTCTTGCAAACTGACAAATGTGCCCATCTGGTTTTTACCCCTGACCACTGTGACGTTATCTAGAGTGTATTTCGAGGATCAATGTCAATGTGGCCTCATCTCTGGCCAAGTCTTCTCGTTTACAGTGATCGACTCTGCCTCCACATTAATGGTCTGGTCAATCAGGCTACACCTCTGCACACAATCTGATGAACAGCCTGGATGACCAGAAAGTGTGTATCATGTTCTATCCTGAACATGGAAAGAGATCGGGTAGTTGTTCCCTTTATATAAAGGGAGGATGTTGAAAAAGTCATGAGCCGTAATGTTTATAAAAGTACTGTACCTACTGAACCCCTACTTTTCAACGAAGCTATTTTACACATTCGGCAATGTCTTCCAGTCTCATAAGGAATTATTTCAGTGTATAGATTTGGAACCAGTCTTCAAAAAGTTCAATCAAGACTACTCGGTCATTCATCGGAAATAAATAAATAAAAATACAGGCATGTTCATTATTTTACCCCAAAATCGTATTATATTTGTTGAATTTTGGTGGTCAGAGAACACATCTTCCTTTTATAGCATTGTGCCTGTGAGAAATCTGGTTCCTGTCAAGTTACAAGTCTTATTTTTTGGGGGGAATACAACCCATTTGTAAGCTTGGTAGTGCCTGTACTGAATTATGTTTTCATACTATAATGTACTGAAATATTTTTGGGAGGGGGAAGAAGTTTTGATTATTCATCTAAGAAATATCTCAGTCTCAAACCCACTTGGTTGGTGACTATTAATATTCCAACACTGGGCCAGAAAGTATGAAATATATTGTAGAAAAAGAGGATTTGAGGTGATAGAAACAATAAATAAATGATTATCATAAGAAAATAACTACACTGTTAGAAATAAATAACTTTAAGTACTGTGATAATATACACAAATTTCTATCAAACCTATTGTTAACCTGAACAAATCCACAAGGGCCGTGATGATGGTTCGAATCTATGTCCGAGAGGATCCCAGACGAGCCTTAATCGACTGTGCCACGACATGGTAAAAGAATTGCAGCTGGGAGTGCTACTGCCCTTACACGGATCCTGCAGTCTCTCCGAGACATGGCCCTTGTGGATTTGTTCATTTTATGCATCGCGCTATTGTGATTTCTGTGTCTATTGTTAACCTCTTGATTCATCCCACATCAATAATTTAATAGGTTTGTTTAATACCTTCATTTATTTGTTTATTAACAATTAATTTATACACATTTCAGAAGCCAGATAGATCCATGAAATTTACTTCTTCCCCATACAATAATGCCCAACTACACAGGCTGGATGGTAGTGATGGTCTCAATTTGTGCATTTAATCCCTGACTGTCCAAGTGGTTGGGCACCATTCCTTTCCCTCGTCTCATCCCAAATCCTTATCTTGACCCCTTCCAAGTGCTATACAGTATAGTCGTAATTGCTTGGAGCTTCCCCCTGATAATTCCTTCCTTCCCATAAAATAACATTGAAAAAAGTAAGTAAGAGCTGTGAGGAGGATTTGAACCTATGCACTGGGTACTCCTAGGCAAATGCTCTAGACCACTACACCACAACATGATAAAAAGCATTGCAACCTGGGATTCAAATGAATTCTCTAGGGATTCCTGAGGCTTCCACTGAAGCCTAACCAGGGTTTCATGCACTCTGGCTTGTAGTCTGGTAATTCTACTTTCTACACTTCTCTTCAAATGCTCAAAAAAAAAAAAAAAATCATATTAACTTGATGTATCAATGAGAAAATCAGTAGGAACCATAAAGAGGAGGAGGATTCAAACCTATGCACTGGGTTCAAATATATGCAAGCCAGGGTGCACGGGGAGCATTGTGTGAAGCCCTGATTATGCTTCAGTGGAAGCCTCAGGAACCCTAGAGGATTCAGTTGAATCCCCAGGTTGCAATGCTTTTGACCATGTCATGGTGTAGTGGTCTAGAGCATTTGCCTAGGAGTATGCCTATTCACTGCTGGGTGAATAGGGACAAACAGCTAAGGACTGGTGCCGAGTCAAACCCTCCCTGCTCGAACCTGGTCAAAATACCATACGAAGTGTGGGCTGAGCATGCTACCACTGCCACTGGGTCCGAGATGTATGGCAGCTTCTATCCTAAGGTGCAGGGACAAGATTCCATATGGATTGGCATGCAATACAGTACTAATTTAAGCAGTTGTTGTTATTACTCATGTATTTATTGCTAAAGATTTCAACCATGATTTTTCTCTATAAACAGTAAAATGCTTTTAGTAATATTGTCCCAGTAGTAATTTTTGCGTCCAGAGAGAAGGGAGTATAATATTAAAATAAAAACAATTTAAGAAAGGAAAGATACATTTTGAACCTTGAAAATACATCTGCAACAAATTTCAACATTATATAATATACATGTCAAAACACAAGCTATTTCAAAGCCTTACATTACGGTATAACTGTTCTTAACGTATAAAATTCTCACTCCGTTTTCAAGTCACATCAAAGGTGATAGGTTTACTCTAGCTAAACAATTATGCACTGATGAAAATGTAATGCCAAATTTGTCTATTTATCAGCTGAATAAAAGGCTAATGTTATCAATATCTTCCTCTTTTTGTAACAACTCAATCCCGGGGCAAGGATGCCTAGTTCACGCAACGAATCAACTCTGTGCAACACCACAGTAAACTGCCCCTGGACAGTCCTACCTCTCACTTCAACCCTGATGCATGTACAGATTTACTGTACTGTTCCTTAGTCAAATAAAAAATAGGATTATGATGCTGCTTATTATAACACATGTTAAAATGGATAAGATACTGACTATCTTGGAGATTCATAGCCCTCAATCTATGAAGATAATTTAGAAAGCTGTTAAATTCTTATTAACTTGCATTATTATTTATCTTTGCACTAGTTTTCACTACCATTTATTTTTGCAGGAGTAACACAGCAAGCTTCAAAATTAAGTTTAAACTTACCTTAAAAAAAAATAATTTTTTTTTCAGGAAAACACTAGTAAGCTAACATTACCAGATACATATAAAAAAGTATTCAAAATACAACACACACACAAGTTCACCACAAGCTATACTGTGATATAGAGAGCATTATCACATTATACAACCTTGCCATTCAAAAATTGTGGTGTTTATTTATATCAATTATTGGTTGAAAGCACACAAAAACTGAACTGCTTCATACCCTTCCCACAGAGCAAATTATTATTTACTTTGAAGTGGCCAAGAACGAAGGCAACAACAAACCAGCACTTTCCGAGGTCATGTACAGCACATACATACTAAATCAGGCCTAAGATGATGCATTAGGTTTATTTAGGTCTAGGCCAGATAAAGTTAATTTCTAAGTTACTGTTCCAATTTTTTTAAGATGCCATTTGGAGTTTTCCAATAGTACAAAATGCAAATTTTTGTTGGCATGCCAGAACATTTTTGTATGTTTGACCAATAGTTGCTTTTAAGTGCTATCATTTTTGAAGGATGGGTTGCATTATCATATATGTACAGGAAACAAATCAAACCATGTGTTGTTTCTAACAGCTGCAAAATACAACATAATTCTTTTTCACCCAAAAGTGAGAATTTCTGCAGTTTTGCCCACAAAAATGCTTCATGAGCTGAAAATAAAATCTAGTTTTGTCTTATTAATATTAGGAATATCACAGTGTTCACAATAATGCATGGCATTACATCTAAAAGCTACCAACCATAATATGCACATAATTACCCAATTCTCAAGTGCACAGGTTCAGTGATTCAATATTCAACAATGACAATCCATATTTAGAAAAAATATTGAAATACTGTGGCACTGAAAAAACCTAACCTGGAAAAAGTCATGCTTTTGTGCCATCCAGAAGTCCCCAAATGTCGGATACAGCAAGATATTCACTGCTGATGCACCTAATTATTCTGGAAGAATGATAAAAATCTTCAGTTTGTAAATCCATGCCGATGTTTACATTTTCAATATAGGAAAGCATAAGGAGTTAAGTGAAATGAAATATTCCTTTCTGAGCAATTTGTCAGTTAGCTTCACTGGCCAGGTCCATGGTTCACTCAGGGTACCCCATAAACACCTTACGCTCTAGTTGACTTTTAACACGAAACTTTACAAATAATCTTGCTATGTAATTTCGGGATGGGAATTCAGTGGAGATTCTAATTCAGTCCGACCACTAATAGATCACTCACTGCAAGACAGTATAATAGAAGCAAATCACTAAACATCCCCCCCCCCTACATGCAATTTTGGGGGATTGGAAGGATAGCCAGTTATTGCTGCCACCTGGTGGTGATTGGTGTAGCTGATAGCTACTACTCAGTAGTTAGAGCAATAATGGGCTATCCTTGTGATCCAAGTTATCACTATTGTGTGTATAGAATGGTTTGTTTTTGCTCCTTAATCTTATAGGAAGCAGTCTCTTGGAATGAGAAACCTCTCTACTGTATCTCTGTCGCTTAAACATTGTGGCAAGGCCATTTACAAAGGTCTTTGTCATAGTGGGAGATGAAAGTCAACTAGTGAGTAGCGTTCTGAGTGGATCCAGGACTTGGCTAAGGAAGTAACCAAGGTACTTCTCAGAAAGAACGAGGCAAAATATTTTAATAGGAAACCAGAAAAAAATTAATGAGCACTATGGAGTGAGGAAATATAAAGTTGACCAATGGAATAACTCAACTTTTAAAATACTTGTACTCTCACTCTGGCCACTGAAATGACTATGCTACTTTGACCTTACCAGGAGCTTATTAAAAAAAAACAGCAGTGAATGTTGTGAAACACCATTTTCTGGACGTGACCCCGGAGGCTCCCTGGAGCTATCCAGGCTGATATGGATATATTAGACTTTGGCATCAGTCAATGTGAATGGGGTTCTAGGCCTACTGGGGACCACGAGCCACAGCTTGGCCTCCTCAGAGAGGCATGAGGAGCAATGGCCTATAGAAATGCACATGTGGTTATGAAGCATTCTATGTCTGCCATCGACCGGGTCAGGCACCCAGAAAGGTAAGCATCCCAAAACAAACCGCTACTCTGGTTGAAACTACTACTGAAAGTCAAATGAGTGGATAGAACTCCCAAAATAAAAATGAGCAAACGAGCATGACATCACCACGTCACTTGTCTGGCCCCCCACCCCTCCCCCAAGAGGGGGAAGGGGGAGCCCCAGACCCTCGTGCCGGCGATCCACCCTGCAGTTCTGAGGCTGGATATCAAAACACGCAAAAAAAATACCATCCAGGGGGAGGGAGGGTTGCCGGGAAGCCTCTGGGTCTCACCCAGAAAATGGCATTTCATTACATTCAACGCTGGTTTTCTGTGGGGAAACCCCTTCAGTTTCCTGGAGCTACTTCACAAAAGAGAAGGAAAAGAGGGATGCACCCGGGAGGCATATGCCACACGCAACTCAAATTGTTGCTCAGCAAACGAGCCAGTAAACCTGAATCTAGACACTGGGAAGAAGGGAAACCGGGGCAACCCAAAGTACGACCCCGGACACAGAAGTCGAGGCGTGCAAACAACGACAGAGAGCCACAACCGGACACAACACATGATGCACCCCCGTCCTAACCAACCAAGCATCAACAACTCAAGGACCCCTCCGGAAAGCAGACATCTCAGTCCAAGCAGAAAAGAAGGAGACGGCTGCAAATGAACAAACCAAACACCAGAAACCCCTGTGCCAGAGGAGAGCATGAAGCTCCCCCGACCCGATCCCAAGAGGCCAACAGGAAAAGAGCTGAAGAGAAATAATCCTGAACTGAAGGGGCCACCACAAACCAAGGGGTAAGAGAGATATGAGAGCACCCTGTCCAATGACCAGGATGGCTCAGGTGGCGCATGAGCAGGCCAGAGGTGAAACAATGCTTGAGACAGCTTGCGAAACAGTGCAGAACGAACATCAATGCCGAAAACAAGCTGCAACGGCTCCGCCAGCGCCACACGATATGAAGCGATAGGATGCGGCAGAAGATGAAGGTCCGGAATAACCACGAGAGAAAGGACAAGACAACCTTTACAGAAAGAGAAATACACCTACGAAGAGACCAAAAAGAAACGGAAGGACCGCCAAGAACTTCATACTGCCTCCGAGAAGAAGCACGCAGGTAGGACACCAGTAACGAAACCACCTGATCACCATACAAGTGGTGATAGACTTTAGTCAAAAGACCAGACGCGAAGACTTGAGGAGAAAAGTGAACCAGCCACACGACGGACCGGACCGATCCGCTGAGAGAGGCGGAGCCATCGGAAAACCCCTGGGTTCGGACACCGAGCAAGCAGCGTCTGAAACTAAGGCTGGGCCGACCACAAAGGGGCCAAGAGGACTACTCTCCCCTGATAGGTCTCCAAGCGAGCTAGGACTAGGAGCTAAAGGGAACCCCAACCTTGACCAGTCCTGAGGAAAGCAGAGACCCCGAGAGCCCAGCAGAAGAGGCACCCGAAGTGACCAACCCCCAAAGAGCCAAGGACTACATCGAACCCCCGCGGTGCAGACAAGAACTACCGGGGAATGTTCCAAATGGAGCCAAAAGAACGCTAGTTCTTATGCATATGTAGTGTGCTAATAATGCAATTTCTCTCTCTTCAAGCGATAATATCCATATCTGTTTTATCAGTCCCTTCACACATTTACATAATATTTACAAATCTCTATACTGCACTGTGCATGCAAATTACAAGGTTAACAATAATGCCAAATGAAAGACTACTTACATTTCAGTCATTACTCTGAACTTCCATTACTGAAGACTGAGACTCGGGCCGAGGATGCTTTATTCGAAGTTCTTTCGCCATTTCTATGTTTTTCAAATTTATTCCTAGTGACCGTGCTCTTCTCCTTGATCTCCATACCTGATGGAGCATAAACTCAATGTCTTAGCTGTTATAAGGAAAATATTCAGTAATTTGCTTACCGATAGGACAATTCACACTTCTTTGCAATCGTAATGTTAGACAGATGAAGGATAACATCTTGCCAAAATTGCATTCACCCCCCGAGATGTTTTCACACAACATTCCTTAAGAAATTGGAAAGGGGATATAAATAGGGCACTGAAAACCCTCAAACTAAGATAAAAACTCATAATAATAAATTTAAATTGGAGATACAGTATTTAAATACAGAAAATGGGTGTAAATAAGCTCTGCCAAGTATGGGTCAGAAGTGTTGTCGTGTATGCGGTCAGTAAGCTGTTGCAGTGTTCCTTAACTCTTATACAGTTCTAATCACTTGGGAGCCATTGGCCTGCATGTTTCAAGCACCTGGAGATTTATTTAAGGTGCCTCATTTTATTCATAAGCCCCACCTATTGTAGGGAGATGTCATTTGACACTAGAGTACCTTAGTTTCTTTCCTGGGGCTTAATAAAAGGATGCGAACCTTGTCTGGCACAGTATCATCCAGCAACTGAATGCCCTGGGTGGATGCATTCCCTCCTGAATGCATCAATGGTTCCATTATTGGAACCATTGATGCTGTGCAAATTTGCAAGGACTTTGGTGAACCTGGAAGATCTTTATGATGAAGAGGAAAATATATAACAAGTAGTTAACTTGAATATTATTCCTCAGAATGTGAAATATGCTGCTCTAACAGCAAGGGATGACAGAGTGAGGAGTGAGCATGTGGGTGGTGACTGATACAATGCTGCACTGACATCACCATCACTTCCAGTTGCCAATTGGAACATGTTTGTTGTGTAACAATATATGGCAGCTCCTGTTTATAGTGATCTTGTTGCTAGTTAGATCATGCCAGTTGTGGCAATATATTAGTATTCACAGCATAAGATAGTGTTATAGTTTTGTCTTCACCAAGTTGCCAAATGTGATGAAAATAGTAATATTGAGATCTGTTTTTTGTAGTCTAGTGTTTAGTGTAGTCGGATAGGTGTTTATGGTGCAAGTACAATACTGTACCATGCATGATGCATCATATTTACAAGATACAAGATAAATCACACAACCCATTACAGAAATGTTTAGAATAATTACAAAACATTTACCTTAATCTTGTGATCATCACTGACAGTGACAAGCATTTCAGGATCTCTCGGATTGAAGGCGACAGCATTAACCACATCTCGATGTGGTAAACGAGACAAGCAGACACCATAGTGACGCTCCCACACGTAACCATGTCTGTCCTCTGCACCACTGTGGGGATAAAGTAATACAGGTTATCTTGAGATGATTTCGGGGCTTTAGTGTCCCCGAGGCCCGGCCCTCGACCAGGCCTCCACCCCCAGGAAGCAGCCCGTGACAGCTGACTAACACACAGGTACCTGTTTACTGCTAGGTATCAGGGGCATAGGGTGAAAGAAACTCTGCCCATTGTTTCTCGCCGGCGCCCGGGATTGAACCCGGGACCAGTAATAAAGTAATAAAACCCGGGTGAAGTAATAAAGTAATAACCTTAACTGTAACCTTTCCACTCCAGTGTAGGAAGAGCCCAGTAGGAAACTGACAACCTTCTTTATCCACGACATAACTTTTCAAGGGAATATAAATAATGCTTTAAATATATCAACACATAAATACAACACAAAATGATGGTATTTTGTAAGTTTAGATTCAGAAAAGACCTCAGTAAACATTGGTTTTAACCCTTAAACTGCGCAAAACCTCATATGATGTGTGACATTGAACTCAGTTTTTTAAATTTTCTGAAACTCTTTCAAATGTTTTGTGAATAATCTACTAGGCAAATGCTCCAACTTTGTCTAAATGATACCAGTGTAACTTGAAAAACAAGAAAATAAAAAATAATTATAAAATTGAATATTGAAAACTTCAGATTTTGAAATTAGCTGCAAAAATATAAAAATATCACCAACTGTTCATTTGGTGTTATTATGCTCTCAGAATAGCATATGATCTTCATTTTCATATATTTAGATTACATGTTTTCAGTATAGTTTACTGTAAACAAAAATTTGTCAATATGGCATTTGAAAGATGCGCAAATTTAGACAACAAAATTTTTTAACTCTAAACGTTTAAAGTTTATGAAAAATCAATTCTATAGGGATTGTAGAACAGACAGCTGTGCACACTACACATTCTCATCTGCTCCCTCAGATACTTTTTGAGCCTGAACCCATTTGGACCATGAGAACAGTATATCACTGTGCTCGGGCCTTTCCCTTAGCCTGGAAAGGATCATTGCTGATGATACTGATGGTAAAAGATGGGTAAGGGAGCCAGTGGCGAGTCTCACCGTAGTCATCACCAAGGCACCAAATTATGGTAAACAGAAAAAAATCTCTATCCCCAGTAGCACTCCTACTACAATTTATTTGCAACTCAATAAATGCTAATTAGCACTCTACAATCTACTGCTACCAACTATGTTACTTCCTGCAACCACCACCCTACCAGCACACAGGGTCGGAGGAAGCTGGATTCAAACTTTGATCTTAGACCACCCCTAGCAAGCTTGGAGAGAGGGGACAGAGGGGTGGAAACAGGAACATTTGAGGGACTAGCATAGAAAGTAGTTGCCTCACTACTTTCTAAGCTGACTCCCTCCAGCACTGTTTACTGATAAGGTGCTCTTATCTAATGGAGGTGAGAGGCAGCATAGTTGGTAATGCCAATTAGCATTCATTGTGACTGCTTATTAGTGCTTGTAGGGTTGAGGGTATTGCATTCTATTAAGCTATTGTGATGGCTTGAGTTAAACTTGCCATTGTCTCTAGTACCAATTTTTTATCCCTGACAAGACCATTTGTGCCCTGTGGCCGAGCCCCAGGGCTTGGGCACAAGACCCGAGCACAGTGATATACTGTCCTCATGGTCCAAATGGGTTCAGGCTCAAGAAGTATCTGAGGAAGCAGATGAGAATGTGCACTCACCATGCAACACAATGTTCACTCGTCTTGCTACATATTATGCATTCACCCTAAAATATACAGCATTCACTGTAAGAGAGACCCCCCTTGTGTAGGGAGAAATAGCAGTGTATTATGTAAGAGAGAGACCCTTGTGTAGGGAGAAATAGCAGTGTTAAATGTTGAAAAACAGTCTGGAACTCTTACCCCTTTCAGATGTACAGAGCATCATCTCAACAGGAAAATGTAATCTCCAAAACAAACAAAAAAAATGTAAACAGAAGGGATAAAATGGTTAACAAAAAGCAGATTCAATGCAAGAAAATATAGAGAAACAACAGTGTTAAATGTAGAAAAACAGCCTGGAACATTATAAGACATATAAATGAAGTATTGGGAAATGTGTATGACATGTATAGGGAGGGGACATTATTGGCACCAGGCAGGCAGGGACATGTGCAACCCCCTATCAGTCACTTGGGAGAGGGAGGCAGGGAGAACCAGACCAGTGTTGTGGATGTCTCCAACAAATATGATAAGTGCAGTATTATAGATGTTTATAGCGGTGCTTCCCCTTTTCTTTATGAGTTAGAGATAGGAATTTGTGGAAATAAGGATTTTTGGAACCCTGTGTGTAGGGAGAGTGGTGTGGTTAATTCAGGTGTATGTGGTCAGCTGCGTGTCACATGGGGGGGTTATCCACATTTATTTTGTATATTTATTTGTAAACCCAGGCCCTTTGTAGTGACCTATGAGGAGTGGAATAGAGTAATGACCTTAAGTCCCAGGTTGTAGAGGGAGAAGGAACCTCCCTCCCCCTTTTTGTCTATCATTCTTGTGGTGGATCCAAGTAAACCCCCCTCCCCATTCTAAGAAGTGTGAGGAAATCTGGTATTTGTTAAATAAAATTCTTTTTGTAAAATTGTACCCCCAAGGTGTATTTCTTGTCCCATGTAGTTAGAACTGGTGACTATTACTATATAGACCCCTGCACTTCCATTATTTATAAGAAAGTAAGAGCGGGTGTTGTTAGCGATACTTTAGGGTACGGCTTTCAATCTCGTACCTTACATCCCCTTATAACGTAACATACTGTGCACTCACCCAGTAACATCATGCACCCAGCCAAAAGCGTACCAAGCACTCACCTTGCAACATACTGGTGAGAGACATCTAGGAAGATAAAGAAGCACTCATCATTGGGCGTATAAGCCTTATGGGACCGCAACATTGTCCCTACCTAAAGCCACAGATAAGTAATGTAATAATTAGCAAAGGTCAACTTCACAGTTGGGAGAAGAAAACACATACTGTATCTTACATCAACCAATAATTCATCACTCTCATAATGACATTTTTAAATGTAGATCAATTTACCTATTACATAATGTTTTTACTTAATATCAGCATTTTGCTATACTGTATAATGTACAGTTATAATTATTAATATTATGATTTTTATTATGTGTATATGTATGTTGAAGGGGGGAAAACCCCTTCAGAGAAAATAGATATGTATAGAAAGAAAACGATGCAAGAGAACTTCAGAGAATGAGGAAAATAATAATTAAGCATATGTTTGAGAGATATAGATATTACAAAGGACATAATCAAAAGGGGGAAAAAACCAGTGATCATGTGGTTGGTATTGTCAATGAATATCTCACATACACATGTCTCAAGTGTGGTGCTTAGAAAGTCTACATGAAGCATCCAGCAAGCAAAGATAGAAAAATAAAACCTGAAATGATTCATATATTAATAACTAGAAGAGTAATTATACTAATCAAAGATAAATTTTTTGTTGTGTTCTATGCTTTATAAATGCTAAAGCTAATGGAATATCAATTAATTGTTCCTCATAAGCATTGACAACTATAGAATTCAAATAACCAGTATTGTACTTTGTAGCTAATTTAACACTACATATTTCTTCAAGGGTATTTGGACATTAACTATAGAGCTACAACCTTAATATAAACTATTAAAAACCTTAAAGTTTATTCAAAACACTATATTTCTGAAGGTATATTTACCTCTGTCAAGTTAGTCAGATCGATAACGTGAAGATCTATTCCTTCAGCAATACGTGGTGGGCTAAGAGGACTATCAATGACACAGTTGGCTTGCCACGGCCTACTGTTGACATACAGGTACCTGGTGATAAAAGATGGAGTACGGTTATGAACTAAAATTTCTATGATTGTTGCGATTTTCAAGAGAATGTCACTTTACAATTATGATGGTTCAGACTTCAAAATTAATAATCTCAATATTGATAACAATACAGTATTTTAATATTATAAATGAGTATAATATTATAAAGTGCAAAATTGTTAAACAAAATTTCTCATGTTTCACAACTTTTCATATTTAAATATTAATCTAATAACTTTAAGAATATTTTAAAAAATTCTGTGAATGCAGAATCTTCAAGTCTTTTACTTATTACCCATTTCTGTACACACACACACACTAGGTGAGTACACACACACACACATGGTGAGTACACAGATTCAAACATTACTGCCAACCAAAACACTCATAGCACTTGACCAGAGACTGCATAATTATTTGTTACTATTAAGTACAGTACATGAATGACCACCACCATACACAAAGATATTTATGCTGCATCACAAGAATGGTAACCTCAGTCAAACGAAAACACATTGTTCAAAATTGAAAGTAGGTTTACAAAATATGAAAATGAAAAAAACTAGAGTACTATTAAAGAAGAGCTTATTTAAGAATGAAACTTAAAATAAAAAAATGGCTATCAAGCAAGGTGATTTTTAAAGGCAGATAAATTAAAATCAAATACATGAAAAACAATATTGATGAATAAGAGGCTTTTAAATTGTTATCCACACGTCCGTGGAAATAAACATTCCATTCACAGTTCCTTATTAAGACCACTCAATAGCTCGGTCGATAGAGCTTCGGCCTCACACACGTGGGGTCCACGGTTCGAGTCTCCTTCAGCCCAGGTGAATGGAGTGGAATAAGAGGCTATATTACTTTCCCCTTAATGCTTTGTTATGATATACCAGTACTGTATCTATGCCGCTGTCCTAACTATTTAGTATCACACATCACTCCAATGGACACCAGTAACCTTACACATAATAACTTTATCCTCAATGTGTTTCATTTGAAGATATAATAATCTTTCCAAACTACCTCAATTTACATTTACAGTATATACATTTTGAGGTTATCTTGAGAGGATTTCGGGGCTTTTAGTGTTCCCGCGGCCCGGTCCTCGACCAGGCCTCCACCCCCAGGAAGCAGCCCGTGACAGCTGACTAACACCCAGGTACCTATTTTACTGCTAGGTAACAGGGGCATAGGGTGAAAGAAACTCTGCCCATTGTTTCTCGCCGGCACCTGGGATCGAACCCAGGACCACAGGATCACAAGTCCAGTGTGCTGTCCGCTCGGCCGACCGGCTCCCATCCAGGAGCAAACATATGTGATTATTTTCTATGAATCACATTCCATTGCCAATTTCAGTTTCCATATCTCATCATTCTAGACTATTAAATAACCCAGAAAGCTGACTCTCCAAGCATTCCTCAAGCACTTCTTCCACAGAGCTTCAGTCTCAGTCTCTTAAATTAAACTGATGTCCCTTAGTTTTGTCAATTATTCTTTGAAGTTATCTTCAGTACTTTCATTGATTGAATGTTTAATTCTTAATTCTTTTTCCCCTGCTTTCTATCCAGTCTATGACTATGGACACATTTGATTTCTAAATTAAAAGATTATGGTCATATAACAGCTAGTGCTTCTTATTCTGAAGACCAACAGGAACATTTCATCGCATAAACATACTGGTCAAGTGTAAGAGTGGAATCTAATTTTAAAGTTAAAGAAAAATAGTCTGTAAGTGTTCACAAGTTGTAAACTTATGTCTAGTGATCTACTGTCCATTAATACACTGGTAATACAGTACTGTATTGGAAAAATAAGGCAAAATAACAGACAAAGAATAATTACAATACCTGTGATCAGGAGACAGCCCCATTCCTATGATATGTCCATTCAGATCAATTAAGTGGTCAATAGGGTCAAATCTCTCAGCAACCGAGTCATAATCAAGCCTGAAATGATAGGTATATTTTTTTACAATCATCATTCAACAAGACATTTAATTAAACAAAATTCCTAGCAAGGAGGCATATGTAAAATGATGAGCACACATTAAGATCACATTATGGTGGAACCTCAGTTTTCAAATGCCCGTTTTCGAAGTCTTCGGTTCTCGAGCTCAATTTCTTTGAAAAATTCAACTCGGTACTCGAAGTTTGCCTTGGTGCTCGAGTTTGTTGATACACGTATGGGCCAACTGAGCACATGGCATGCTTCAATTTGCCAGCGTCTCCCGCCTAGTAATCGCACTTGAATTCTTTGTGAAGAATTTCATTGTTTTTGTGCTTTTTTGGTTCCTGAACATAAAAATTCTTATTATATACCACACCATAGGTTCCAAGAAAGTCAGTGGTTAAGTTCAACCTAAGAAAATAGTTGTGAGGATGACGATAGGGGCAAAACAAGAACTCATTCACAGTGAGACAATGTGATGTCTCACTACAGACAAGTGTTAAAACATAGGGAAAAACAAGTGTCTTTAGACAGATTCTTAGTAAGACAAGCAAGCAGTGAGCCACAACCAGGTCCTAGTGGTATGCCTGCAAAACTTAAGAGAAAGTACCTCAGAAATGTCATCACTGCAGTTATAATGTGAGGGGACTCCACTTCCAAACAATAACACCTCTCCTCCTTTCCCCTTCCTCACTGTCTGAGGAAGGGGGGGAGAAGTATTATTTACCACCAACAGTCCTCAGTAAAGGTAAGTACCTAAGGGTATTATTCTGTATAAAATGTATTTTTTAGTTAATATATTTGGGGGTGTGGAATGGATTAATTCAATTTACATTATTTCTTATGGGAAAATTCGTTACGGTTTTTAATTATCTCTGGGAACGGATTAAATTCGAAAACTGAGGTACCACTGTATATATAACCATATATATATAACCATGTATATAAAACATAAATACTGTAGAATGAAATTACCAGAAAGTGAGGTGACCAACACAATAATGAATAAGCAAGAATTGTAGAGACATTAGTCTATTAACTGTAATGGGTAAAGTGTATGGCAGTACAGCGATTGGTCGAGTTCATGGAATACTGTATCAGAGAAACTGAACAAGTCTAATTAATAACACAAGTTTCATTGTGGAAGAAGATTTGTGAAACAGATATATATATATTTGTCCTGAAAAAAATAGTGGAGAATGCTAGAAACTTTGCAAGGGAAACATAGTCTTGATGGAATTGGAGAAAGCGTATGATAAAGATTATGGAGAGACTTGCTGTCGTAACAAGCATGTATAGAGTTGGCAGAAGTCTGTTAAATGCAGTCAAGAGTTTTCATGAAGAAAACAAAGCATGTGCAAGAGTTAACAGTTCAATGAGTAACTGATTTGACATTAACATTAGCATGTGAATGCTGTATAATATTTCATTGGTTATTTAACATATATGCATGGATGAGATGAGGGCGTTGAAGGTAAAATACAAAAAATGGGATGCTGCTGTGGATGATTTACTGTAGTGGTGCCAATTTTTTGTGATTTTTGTGCAGTGTGCAAGACATTTAATGTATTGGTGCAATATATGAATGGTTCACTTCTTTTTTAAACAGTCAACCACTTGGATTGGATGGCAGAACAATGGCCTCGGTTCTTGCAGGACAGCGTTCAGTCCCCAACTGTCCAAGTGATCGGGCACCATTCCTTTCCACTATCCTCTCTCAATCCTTATCCTCCTATCCCTTCCAAATGCTATACAGTCATAATGGCTTATTGCTTTCTCTTGATAATTACCTTATATTTTCCCGAACAGCTCTTTTACGCTTTCTGTGTTGCCTCCCTGCCCTCTGTTTTTGGGAAATATGATAACAATGAAGGTAACTTATAATGCTCTACCTCTATATAGAAAGACAATTCAAACACTATAGTAAATAACTAATATTACTGCGACTTGCACCATTAAATTTAAATATCCTGGTACATACATTTTAGCTTATGACTCGATTATAATCTCTAAGCCTTATTCTACCATTTTCAAATAAAGCTCATCTCAATAATGTCAAATCATTGCTCGATTAGACTAGCCCAAATCCCGTTATGAATTTTAAGAACTACGGTAACTAAAACACACATACTATATAAAAAATACTGTTGAACAAATTTAACGTACAGAATCTCTCCTGGTACAAGCAAATACTTCATCTGAACGCTGAAACAAATTGTACCTACCAGTTAGGGTCTTGAAAAAGACCAAGATTTCGCAACTCCCGCTCCTGCTTTCTCTGCTGAATTCTCTCTCGTAAGCATGGTCCAACCTCCAGTACAGTGGGTATTGAGAACTTCTTTATTCTCTTAAAACCTGAAAAAATTAAACAATTTGTACTTTTTTTTAAACTAGACAGAGCATGGTTTTATCATATAAGGATGATAGAAAAAATGTATCCTGCATTCCCCCAAGTCAGCATATCTTGCAATACACAAATTTGAAATAGTTGTAGATTTTATCATTTCTGATATAGTAAGGGTTATGATTTATCTACTCACAGCAGTGAGTAGGTGTGAAGTGTCGAGAAAGGAAATAACAACTCTAGACATTTGGATAGCACCAAAATCAATAATGCTTAACTGTTTGTGGAATAACCTGGACATAGAACTGTCTAGATGCAGTATCCCGAGGCATGCCAGGAGTACACAGGAAGTCAAGAGTGTGTCTGGACACAAACACACCAAACACAGGAGAAACCTAATTCTAGTAAACATCCCAAATTACATAGGCCACTGCCTCCCTGAAAACATAGGGTTGCCTACCAGCCAAGAGGGAACAGAAACTTGTTACCACATCCATAAAGTGGCAGATGAGCCACATTCCAAGAGAAAGGGGTCCGGTTCTAAAGCTTGGTTCCAGTTCCACAACAGGAAGAATAAGACCCATCATACCTAACCAGAAAGCAGGCAAGACTGAGGGTAGCAGCACAAGATGAGCATCTTTGTCCCATCTTGAGGGATGAAGAAATACACCGAAGGACAACAATAGGAAATGTCAGACTGACACTGAGATGGAAGGAAATTAAGTCCTCCAAACAGGAGATAGATGCCATCTAGTCTAGTTACCAATACTCAAAAGGAATATAAAAGAAACCAAGAAGCCACCTTGGATTCATTCTCAGACCATCTGCTCTCTGCCTCCAAGGAAAATTAAGACTTCCAAGTACCCTAAGACTGAATAGAAAGGAAAGCTGGAGCACCATCAAGTAAGGCTGCAGACTATCTGTGGGCACAAGGCCAGATTCCAAGATCTCTGTTGTTAACCTTGTAGAGTTGCACGAGTTCAGGAGCTGCAACCAGTGAAGATGGTGGCAACTAGGTCAGTGGTCCCTACAGTCAGCTCCTCCCTCCCTCTTCTACTATTTCACTATTTATTCTGTATATCTGCTGAGATTTCTTGGATAGCCTTAATAGGTTTACTTGCTTGCAAATGGCACTTGCATTGTGAGGCAGTGTACTAATGGTGATACGGAAGAGGCAGTGTGGGGGTAGTGTACACGCGGCAGTGTAGTGGTGGTGGCAATGTAGTAGTGCCATGTGGAGGAGGCAGCATACTGGTGGTATGGGGAAGGCAGTGCACTGGCGGTGTAGGTGAGGCAATGTAGTGGTAGTGTGGAGGACTGTAACTACCACAGGTACTGAGGAGGGGCCTGAGCCAAGGGGTAGTCAGAAGCATGAGCAGCAGTGGTGGCTGGGAGGCCAATAGCAAAATTTGTTTAAAGAAACATCTTACCAATTTGATGAGGGGAGTAGGTTTTGGAGCCTGTGGTGAAAATGAGGAACTTATCACAATCTTCAGCCAGAGACATAGGGGGCATCGGCTCAGTGTCTTCCTCCCAATCAACAAGTTCCTCCTCCTCTCTAGCTTTAACTTTGACTCCCTCTTGCTCCATTTTTTCCTTGAAAGTTATACAAAAACAAATTAAAATTAAGCCTCAATAAGCAATCAATTCCTCACATAATAATAAACATTCAAAATATTTACCAAACCTAATCTAACCTAGTAATATATTAATTTCTCTAATAAATGGAAATTTACCCTTTCTTGTAATCAAAATGTAGTGTGTTACAAACAAGTAAATTAACCCCATTTTCTTATTCTTACAGTTTCCTTGTGCATGTACTAGATAAGACTTTCCACATAACAAAAATAAGAAACTAAAACTTAAGTGATAAAAGAAAATTAATGTGTGAGGCAAAAGGCAGGTGAGAAAGTGGCACTTGGACTAGAGTGTACAAATAATAATACGGAGTGCATGGACAAAATGTGGGCCACTCCAAGCAACAGCCTGGTGGACCAAACACTCTCAAGTCAAGCCTGGCCTCGGGCTGGGCTTGGGGAGTAGAAGAACACCCAGAACCCCATCAAGCAGGTATCATGCAGGGTGTTGGTGATGTCAAATACACAAAAATTAAGGTACACTATATATATTTCAAAGCTTTGCAATGCTGTCAGTATTACATGGAATACATATGCCATTCCTAAAGTTTAAATTTTATTATCCTGAAGAAACATCACTGAGACCCACTAATGGTATGTCTTGAGGTCTGACATAAAAGTATAACTGAGAGCAAAATTTCCCAAATTGTTTACTTATTTTTTGGTAATAATACATTTCTAAACAGGATAATAACAAGCAAAGAAAATTAAAGACATACATACAAAATATATATTCCTGACCCTTAACAGAATAACTCCATGCAAAAGAGAGAATATAATTCATACAACAGATTCATTTAGAAACAATTTATGAATTTAAATTACTGTACAATTCTATTGATGTGCTTTTCCTAGTATAAATATAAAAGACTGAATCCTATATGTCTCACATCTTATTTAATAAGATATTCTGAATTATGCTGTACATTGTTGACTTCAAAACAACGTTAAAAAGCAAAGCAATAATTAAATACCATTACTCCTTCACATTCAGCCGAGTTCCCTTCAGGCAGTTCAACTTCAGCACGTCTATAATCTTTAGTGTATGTGATTGGACTGGTGTAGACTGTCTTCTTATACAAAGGAGGCTCAATATTTTGTTGCTCGGTGACAGATGTCCGATGAACGCTTAATTCACGATGAGATGGCGGGTTACCTCGTTCAACAACCTATTGGGCAAGGTGAACATACAGTACATAACAAAATAATATTCACACTTAACATTAAAACATGAAAAAGCAAGAGAGTGGGGAAGGTCAGGGAGGAGGAAGCACATTACTGTGTTGCCAAAAGCTGTTTTATTGTCATCATCCCCCTATTTTCCATTTTCACAAGTTGGGGAGTTAAAAGCCTGGAAAAGGATAGGAAAGCAAAAGGGAAAAAAGAGATTTAAATTACAAGCATTCATTTGCCGAATTTGACACAGCAAACATTCTTCAGAGAGAACCACCATTGCCACTCTCCAGAAAAATCACCTACAGCTGCGCTCCGCTGCTTTATAAGACCAGATATACGCTGTACAGTAGTGCTTGTTGCAAGCTGCAACATACAAGGGCAGAGTTATGCCACCACAAACTGCAGCTGCCTGGCCTTGTTTCCTACCACACTTAAAAAAAAAAAAAAAAAGTGTTGGATGTAATGAAACACCATTTTCTGGGTAAGTCCTGGAGGCTTCCCGAAGCTATACCGGGTGATATGTATGTATTAGATCGTGGCATCAGTCAATTCGAACGGAATTCTAAGCCTACCGGGGACCATGAGCCAGAACCTGGACTCCTCAGAGAGGTACGAGGAGCAATGTCCCATGTGGTTGGAAGTATTCTATGTCTGCCATCTACCAGGTTAGGCACCCAGAAAGATAAGCGTCCCAAAACAGACCCCAACTGGTGAAACATTGCTACTGAAAACTGAACTGCTAAGCAGAACTCCCCAATCTGAAAACAAGCAAATAAGCATGACATCACACCTGCTGAGATGAGGCATCAGTGAACACATCGAGCAAGGGCTCGAGTAGGTGCCACGTTACTGAACCCCAAAAAACCCGAAGAGGAAGCCGGCGACGCAGCAGCTGACGCAAGGCCCTTGGAGGCCAAACCCAACCATCGTGTGAGCGACAGAAAGGACGTCCCCGAAGAAACCAGAACAGACATTGAAGCCAAACCCGACCAGGCGGGTATACCAGCACGGCAAAGTTCAGACTCCCGCACAGCAGCTCGAGGAGTTGACAAGTGACCCAGGAACTCCCCCAGAAACAGCGGAAGGTGAGACCGCAGCCACAGCAATGACACCGGAGGGAGAGACAAGGAAGCGGTCCGAGAGTCCCAGACAAGACCAAGCCTGAGAGAGAACCAGATAGGATTTCCATCAGTTTACCAAGAACCCAAACCCGGCGAGCTGGGAAAGAACCAAATCCCTGGCGAGCAGACACGCGGACTGGCTGGGAGCCCACACCAGCCAGTCGTCGAGGTAGGCCAGAACCTGAATCCTTAACAGAAGCAAGCGGGTCACCATGACCCGAGTACAGCATGTGAAAACATGAGGTGCCAGATTCAAGCTGGATGGAAGGCAATGAAAGTGGTAAGCTTTATGCTCCATGACAAAACCGAGCCAGTCCCTGAACCCCGGATGAATCGGGATGTGCCAATATGCATCCCCGAGGTCCAGAGACACCATCCAAGCATATGGCTCCAAAAGAAGCTGGACCTGGGACAGAGTGGCCATCCGAAAGGAGGGGCAAAAGACCCAAGGTTCAGACGGGACAAGTCCAGAATGAACCTCAGGAGCAGGACAAACAACAGGGAAAGGACGAGGGAGCGCGGACGAAACCAAAGTCAAAGCGACCAATGCCAAGAAGTCCGGGTCCCCATGACCAAAGCAGGGCAGTCGCAAGGCATCCGGAAAGGCAACCAACCATTGGCGTTGCAGCAACCTAAACCGTGCATGCAATGCCGATGCTGCCTGCCCCCGATCAACGGTATTATCGGACTGGGTGAAATGGAGAACCAACAGCGAACACCACTTACAGGACTCCGGGTCAAAGGTCAAAGGTGTCATTGACCCAACAGGCAGCATGACGGAGGCAAAAACGGTGAGTGTCACCCTGAGACAAGGTAAACAGAACAACTTTCAAACTGGCATGAAGACTCAGAGGACACATCCATTGGACCAATGAGCCCCAATGGGTGTTTCCATTGCCCTTAGGCTGACTACTAAGGGAAGCCCAGGCAAGGTACTGCTAACTAGTTATTCTAAAACTACCAAACAAACAACAAAAGCTGAATCCCTGCGATGTGTACAATCGCAGGGGCCTAGCTGGGGACGACCATAATAACAGAAGGTGAACTATGACCAAGGGGGAAAAAAAAACCCCCCACAAAAGTGCAGCGTCTCCAGGGGGAATAGAACCGGCCACAATGATCTAAGACAAACTGCACAGTACCTTGTGCCTCAACCAGCGACGACACTACCTCCTACTCAAGGCCAAACAGTGGCTAAGCAAAACCCAAGTTGACCCCAAGGGCAGGCAATAACCAAGCAGCAAAATACCCTGCGGAGGTAGATCCCGAGTGACTTGTGGAAAGCAACCCCAAGCCAAAAAGGTAGTACTTACAAGGCACCTAGGAAAGAAGGCTCTAGACACAAGCAGCCCCAGCACTTCTTGAAATACTCCTGGCTCCCACACAACACAACAACCCCCACAAGGCACAGGTCTGCTAAGAATAAGGAGCCAGAGTCAAACGACCGCCACTCAACACATCAGCCTCAGGACAGGGGTTGGATACCCGGCACAGGGTCTGATCATGCTTATTTGCTTGTTTTCAGATTGGGGGAGTTCTGCTTTGAGGTTCGGTTTTTGGTAGCAATGTTTCACCAGTTGGGGTCTGTTTTGGGATGCCTAACCCAGTAGATGGCAGACATAAAATGCTTCCAACCACATGGGGGTTTCTATAGACCATTGCTCCTCATGCCTCTCTGAAGGGGCCAGGTTCTGGCTTGTGGTTCCCGGTAGGCTTAGAACTCCATTCGAATTGACTGATTGATGCCACAGTCTAATACATACATATCAGCCCGGTATAGCTCCGGGGAGCCGGAGGGGCTCTCCACAGAAATGAGGAAAGCTTTTCTTACCTCCTTTTCTTCGGTATTTTCTACTTTCGGTTCAACCATCTCTGTACTAGTGGAAGCATCAGGAGTCAAGCAGTTTGCTACAAGGATCGTGCGAACACTCGAGGCATTCCGATTGTAGAACTTGAATAGGCGGCTGATGATGGCACGGTGCTCAGAATTATTTTCTTGATTAGCTTTATTGAGCCAAATGACACTAGTACTAACCTGAAATGAGTTATTAATACAGTACTCTTAGATATACACAAGATCCTACATTCATGCTAAATTTTAATACATCCTTTTTGAATACGGTAACTTTAACATTTTAGATACACAAACAAATGCAGAACATAAACACTCAAAACTGCTAATAAATTTTAAAAAGTCTGATAATCAAAACATTGTAATTCCTTTTTATAACAAGGTTCTGATTTACAAAACTAGAAAAAGCAAAATTAAGATAAAGTTCTAGTGAAGAGTCTATCAAACCGTTCTTGAAAATACAAAACACTAAATGATTCTCCAAAAATTATTGATCCATTTATATAATAATACAACTTGAAGGATGGTAGACCTCACAATAAGAAAAGATTATACAGTACATAACCCCCAAGTCTAACTCTACTGTACTAAGCATAAGGCTATCTACAACGACCAATCTCAGAATCTAATAATGGCTAGCATATTCTGTTTTTGTGGGTTTTGTTATCTGTATAATAATAATAATAATTATTAATTTTATGTATGGTCATGAATTTTACCAGTGCATGGTACAGTAGTCTTCTCACTGTTACTGTTTCAGTCCACTAAGAGTTTTGGGAAATTCTGAAAACTGTGTTCATACTGTAAAGGCCTATATTTAGAGCAAACATATTCAATCTACAAACTTTATGAAAAATACTGATTTAAGACAACTTTCAAATTTTCCATCCAGCAGAATACAGCATTTCTTATTTATAAACATAAAACAAAGAGAATCAGCTAAATCTCCGACTCAAATTCAACTTTCCAATAAAGTATAACTTGCTTAATTTATCAAGCTCATATTTTTTACAGTTACCATCAGCTACATATATATAAACTTAAACAGGTTCTGGCAACTGATATCGGGACCTCAGACTATTTAAGGAATCATATACAGTACTATGATTAATCTTCTATATTCCATGGTAAATGCAATGGGTATTTGTTTTCCAACATAAAACAGAGAGGATTTCACTGCTAAGATGATTCATATTATTTATGAATCACAGCTTATGTCAGGTGAGGCAGAAGGCTCCCATACATCTTCACGCCCTATCTCATGCCACAAAGAGCTTACACCATGTACAGAGGGGAAACCAATATTCATAATGCTGACAAAATCTAGTGTGCTCTCTGAAGCCTCCAGAGTTTATCTCTGGTACCACCAAGCCTTACTCTAACACACCAAGCCCCTCAGACCCCTCCATCCCCTACTGGGAGCCACGACCAGAATCTGGCTTGCTCTACGAGTGACGGAAGCAGAGGGGGATTGAAGATCAGCCACCAAACAGGGAAGGGGGGGGGGGGTTAACAACCCACCAGAATGCATAGATGAAATAGAACAAGGGACTGCCTGAAGGAAATCAGGCACCTCACAGGACACAAGACAAATATCTTGTTTACCTATAGGTGCCTAATTTCCTTCAAGCATTGGCATGTTTTGTTGCACCTATGATCTCTGGTGAGTTTTCTCCAGTTTTGTGGTTAATCTCTGATCCCCTCCTTTTCTTGCCTTGCTAAGTAAGCCATATTCTTTTCTTGGCTCTTGGATTCAATCATCCAGAGTACAAAATAAATTTCTTTCAGCTAAAGTGATAACAAAACACTTTTGGCATTAACTGGTGGTCAAGTTGAAAACATTAAACAATTCTCATATATTATCAAGAAGTAACATTACATAATTCAATTCAATTTAATTCAATGTTTATTTAAAATTATTTGTGTAGTGTGTACAACATACATAAGAGTAATGTACTATTGTAGGGAAAGGAGTTGCACAATCTGTGAAGTCACTATTACGCAAAGCGTTTCGGGCAAAGCTTACCAAGTGAGCCAGCCAGTGCAGATCACCAGAGAGGAGGTACTGGTCATTGTACCAGGTTCCAAATATGTCGTAAGGTTTATTTAAGACTCTACATTGTAGCTGAAAATCACCTGCAAAATTAAATAAAGGCACTTTGTGAGTTAATGAAAATTACTAGAAGTATGCTTGAAAAATATAATAATAGTACAACCTATAAACATTACATTAAAGAGGAGGAAGTTGGAGGAGGGAACAATAATGGGGAAAAAAAAGAGAAGAAAAGGTGTTGGATGGAAGATGGCAATTCAACAATTATTCTCACTTAAAACCTCTTTAAATCTTATTATCCATGCATAAAACATATTTTAAATAATCATAAAATGGAGCTATTTATTATCGGCTAAGTTGTCACATATTTTACATTTTTTTTACTGCTTCACTGTACAGTACATGTATGAAGAGAGCTGCAGGGGACAGTACGTGTCTATGTAAAGTGTACATGTATGCAGGGAGTTGGAGGGGGGAGGGGCTATGCTTCTCTGTACAGTACATGTATGCAGGGAGTTGGAGGGGGGAGGGGCTATGCTTCTCTGTACAGTACATGTATGCAGGGAGTTGGAGGAGGTAGGGGTCGTCTTAACAGCATTATGGCCCCAGGGGCACACCAGTGTGATGGTGTCCCCCTACAACAACCACTCACAAGAATAAAATTTAAATGGTCGATAATATAACCATGTATTTATTTTATTGGCACTTCAACAAAACTGATGTTGAAACATTAAAAAATGCACAGGCGATGAGTCACAATAACGTGGCTAAAGTATGTTGACCAGAGAATGGTCCAGGACGGACCGAAACGTCGTCGTCCCTTCACCTTCTAGTGTGTGGTCTGGTCAACATTAAAAATACGCTGTAGAGCAGCAACTAATCAACTTGATAAACATTTGAACAATACGCAATGCTTGAAAAACACAATAATACTCAGTAAACTACACAGATTAGATGGCACAGTATGAAATTATTATGAACTTCTTATTATAACAAGCATTTGTGGTATTTCTTTTTAGAGAATTACTTTATTATTGGCTTGAATTCAATCATCTTCAGGATGTCATTTTCCATGCACATGAGTGAAAGCCAGTTCAAACAATGCTGCCCCATTGTGCTACGAAGCAGCTTTTTTACAAGTTTCAGTCTTGAAAAAGAACATTATCCTGTAATTTCGACATTCGGGAATACATATTTCAAATTATCTGAAATTATTTTTCTGTACAGGGCAGGGAGAGTCTTACAATTTTCATCAAGAGCCATGTAGTGCTTGAGATGCTCACATTCATTTAAAAAGTCATCATAATTCAGGTCTTTGTGATACATATTAGCCAGATGTTCACACTTTTTCTTTAGTGCATCAGAAACAATGATTTTTCATTTTACTGAAGAAAAAACATATTTCCAATCTGTGAATAATGTTCGGCACATTTTGTCAGTTCAAAGGTTAGTGTTCAGAATAGGGAGGAAAGTTTCCACCTTGAATTTATCAGTTTTAATGAGAAGTACCTCTTCTGCTGAGCCATCATATCTACTAAGACGCACACTTCGTTTTCGTTCCTGTTTTTTCTCATCACCATAATCTGTATCTGGGACACATCTTCTTGAGATTATCTTGAGATGATTTCGGGGCTTTAGTGTCCCCGCGGCCCGGTCCTCGACCAGGCCTCCTGTCATTGAATTCATATTCACTAAATTTGTCTCTAGTTTCCTGAAGATAGGTTTTCATAAACTCAAGAAGATTCGTGGCAACAAGGATGTTCACATCCTTTGATTGCAGGACCTTGTTTGTTTTGTTCATTTTTTGCAGCACGTTATTTCAAAGAATTGTGAGAAAGATTGTTTCCAGGTTTTCCATTTTGTTTGCTCAATCCTTCTGCCTCACGCCTTTTATTCACTTACTGTTCATTGTCACCTGATTGAGTATCCAGTGCATGTATTATTTTCTTGAAACCCTCCCATACAGAGCTGAACAGCATCTAAACGTGCTGACCATCGTGTGTCAGACATATGCTTCACCCCAAAATCTTTTCCAAAAGATGATGTCAATACATTCCAGCGATGAGTAGAAGCAACAAAAAAATGAATACAGATTCTGAACAAAGTCAAAGAATTTGACAGTCTGTAGACAACACACTGCTGCTTTTACTCCCACCAAGTTCAGGCAGTGTCCAGCACATGGGGCATAGCAAACTCATTGAGTTGATGGATCCATGCTTGCTTGCAATCCAGTATATCGTCCGGATACATTTGAGGCATTATCGTATGACTGACCATGGCAGTTTGATAGTGGAATTTTTTCTCATTAAGAAAATTCTTGACAGTGTGTTAGATCTTTTGCTCCAAAAGACTTTTTTTTTTTTTACTTCAAGAATAGTCCAAAGAACCTGTTGTCACATTAATTCAATAAATTCCTCACAAATATTTGCAGATAAATATGATGGATTTCCACACATTTTGAGTTGTTGTTCCAAGAAAGGGTCAAACTCACTAAGCAGCTCTAGTATACCTAAATACAGGTAGTTGCCATTTTTTTCTGACCTAATATGATTTTCTCAATGAAATGGCAAACCTCTAGAAGGAAGAAAGCAAATTACAGAAACCACACATGTCAACACTTTATGCCAATATTCCTGCTCTGAGCGATATTGCTTAAGTAATAAATAATCTGTACTTCTAATTTCTTTATGCCTTATCAGATATGCCGTCATGCACTTTCGATGTTCTCTATTTTCTTGTTCTACAATAACATTACTGTGCTTCCTTCTAGGACAATAGGCGACATACAAAGCAGTAAAAACGAACTTGGGATGGTGAATAGAGTAGCCATTCACGTTTTACATACTCACCATTCCGCAGTTCACAATTGAACACATTGTTTGATAAATACCTCACCTTCATATTCTCTACTCCAGCTGTTTCATAGACTAAGTGTTACTTTGAAAGGTTGCTATCATGATTTTGACATGATGAGGGGCCCACTATGAATCCAGTAATCTATTGTGTTAGTATCATTAATGCTCCATAGTCCCAGATCTGTCTCTTGGTTTGCAAACTCCTTTACTGTTACAGATTTGGATATTTCCTCTTGTAAAATGTCAGCAGCAACAGTCAATGATGGTATGTCTGCTGAAACTGGATGACTGGCATTTGGAATGGATGCTGATGTGGATGTTATATCTGAAGGAATGGTATGAGTGGCTGTCGTTGCACCTGTGTTGAGCCACGATGTTAACTTAGGAAGTTTTCCTATTTTCTCCTCCTCTACAGGCCTCTTCCTCTTCTGTGCTCCACTCAAAACATTATGTTTCATATATGCTGAAAGGGTTATTTACCTAGAAATATATATCTTAAATATTTAGTATTTAGTCCCACTCCAGGATGTGGGGTTATATTATATAAGTGTGCTTGCAACAAGACCTAAATATTTAAACATTCTGCTTCCGTAATGAACATGTCCTATGCTCATTGAACCCTCCGGACAAGTGCCCACGGGCCCATGCAGTAAGACGGCTCTGGGAGTGGGGAAGCAAGGAAGGTATGCTTCTCTGTACAGTACATATATGCAGAGAGTTGAAGGGGGGAGGTATGCTTCTCTATACAGTACATATATACAAGGTGTTGGAGGGGCGAGGTGTGCATCTCTGTACAGTACATGTATGCAGGAAATGGGGCCATTATGCAAGGGAAGTGATGTGGACAGATTCAACATACACTGACAAAATAAGCAGGAGTGTGGATATGTAAGGATGCATGTTTTATTTATATAGTATTGTATGTAATTTAAATTAAACAGACATACTGTATTTTGTGTCTTAGACATGCTGGCATTTGTGAAAAAACACATGTAACTGTCCTGAGCTGACAGTTATACATCCTACAAGCTATACAATTTAACTTACAGTGTAATCCCTATTACTTGAATGTTCAGGTAATCCAGACAATGAAATATCCAAGTCACCATCCCCATTTACTGTTAAGATCTATGATTAATGGGGGATGGAGAACTATTCAATCCCCCCCCCCCAAAAAAAAAAAGACTGTTCCTCCAGCCACCAGGGCAGGAGGAATTCCTGAAAGTCAATTCATTAAAAAATGACACAACCACTTACAAAAACAGCACATCTTTCCATAATAATGCAGCTTCATTTACATTTATTAAACAGTTTACAAACTTCAAAACTTCACAACCAAAAGTTATTGTTTTAAACAACATCACAGCACTTCGGAGCTCAAACAATTTAATATATGTAAACAACGCCACCATGATTGTTGAGATATATATAGGTTTCATAAATGGTTGCATAAATGCTTGATGAACCAATCCGAGTCCAGATGGCTGCCCGTCGACCAGGAGTCTGGCACTGCCAGACCATCACATTTTCATCTTGTGCTCAACTATTCACTGACATCTCCCAAGACTTGTGTTTATTTTGATTAGTGACTACTTTTCTGTTTTAATATTTCGGTGGCAGGTTTCTTGCCTTCATCACACTTTTTTACAATCATATTATTCATTCGCCATGCCTGTCTCATTGTCAGTTTCAGCTGTCATTTCGGGATTATCTTTCGTGGGATGTTGTTTAGCCTAGGTCGTGTGGTAAAGAGAGTTGTCTTCACTGATGCAGATTATACCTCCTTAGCAGGGACTAAGAGTCTTTCCCTTAATTAAGTCTTAAAATTTAAGACTTAAGTGTCTTATCTCGGGTGGCTGTTATTCAGACAAACCTGGTTTTTCAAACAAGATCAGTCCCGGCTGGTTCAGAAACCAAGCAGGTCTTTGTTCAGTGATGAGCTATGTATATTAGCTCATTCCATTACAAGGCTATTACAGGTACAATATTTTAAACACACATGTCCATTAAAATACATACCAAAATGAGTATTGTATTATCTCTTAAAAAAAAATTACATCGCATAATTTTCCCTGAAATTCTCCAGATTTTTGGTTACCCAGACATCTGGAAGTACCAATTAGCCTGGATAATCAGGGTTACACTGTACTAACTTTCTAAATTAAAGACGGCTATCTCGCCCGATGTGCTACTGTAGCTCCCAAAGTGTACACCCGACACGAGCAAGAGAGTGTCCGAGCTGTTGAACTGGGAAAACTGGGTGTATTTCCAGGAGTGAACTTTCATATCTTTATAAAATCTCACAGCTGCTGGATATGTGCTATTCCAAACCTGAAAGAAAAAAAAGTCACCATTAAAATAATTCCGTTTTGTTTACATTAATTCAGCCATTACCTTTTCAATAAGGGTACAGAACAATCTCTCAAAATACTTTAGTATGTGACCCATCACTACACCATCTGACAAAGACCAAAACATTATTCCTAAAATATCAATAAGCTCCAAAAACCTATGCTGGCATTAAAATTACGACATAGTGCTGACACATACCTCGCATGCACTACATGTACTATATACAGTATATATAAATATAACGCAAATTTTATAGCTTTCATTAGGATGGGATGGGATGGGTTTTGCTGGATTGGATTGGGTTGGGTTATGTTTGCTTATAATCAGCAATAATGTAGACAGGTTAAAATTTGCCCAGGGCATAAACCCTACTCTAAAATACTGTGCACAGTTTTTTTTTTTTATTGTAAGTTTGGTTTAAATTTAAGTCGAACTCAAGCTTCTGGATAGAGAAAAAAATCTTCAGTCCATGACTTAATCTTGTAAGCTAATGAACTGTTATTACCTAGGTGTAGTTACAGGATGAGAGTTATGTTCGTGGTGTTCCGTCTTCCCAGTAATGTATTCTTTGTCATGTAACACTTTGAAACTACTGACAGTTTTGGCCTCCACCACCTTCTCACTTACCTTGTTCCAACTGCCTACCATTTTGTTTGCAAAAGACAAGTTTCTAATATTTTTTCAGCATCTTTGCTTCCTTAACTTTAATCTGTGTCCTCTTATTCATGATGTTGCTAGTTTCAGGAATTCCTTTTTGTTAATTTGGTCAATTCCTGTTAGTATTTTGCAAGTGGTCATCATATCACCTCTCTTTCTTCTATTTTCTAGTTTTGGCATCTTTAACGCCTCTAGTCTCTCCTCATAATTCTTGTTTTTCAGTTCCAGAGGCCATTTTATAGCATGTTATTGCACCTTTTCCAGTTTATGTGCTTCTTGAGATTTGGGCACCATACAACTGCTGCATATTCCAATTTTGTGGTCTAACAAAAGTCATGAACAGTTTCTTTAGTATTTCACCATCCATATAATTAAAAGGAAGTCTGAAGTTGGAAAGCGACACACATGCTCCTCGCACAATGTTACTTATGTGTTCCTCTGGCAACAGATTACTATCCAAAACCATCCCTAGATCTCTTTCTTTATTAGAGATCTGTAATTCCTTTCTACATAATTTGTAAGTTGTGTGTGGTCTATTTTCTCTGATTTCACATTCCATAGCATGGCATGTACTCGCAATGAATTCAATTTGCCACTTGACGCTCCAAGTACTTATTTTACCTAGATCGCTTTGAATTTCATTACAGTCGTCTGCTTCTCCTATCTTCCCAGTATCTTAGCATCATCTGCAAATAATGATAGGGGTCTATAATTTAGAGGTTCCTCTTGACTACCATTTTCATAGATTGTACTATGTTTGCCTTTTTCTATATATCTGCTAAGGTTCCTGTGCACAAGGATGTCTGGAATAATAAGTGGAGTGGAATGCTCAGCTCGGTTGCACATTCTTGCTGCACCCAAGGTGAAACTCCATCAAGTCCAACTGCTTTTCTTCCTAGCCCCTTGAGTAATTTTTCCACTTTGTCTTGAGTAATACACTTCCACTTCTATGTATTGTATGGTGTACTCTGGAATTGGTACTGTGTCTAAAGGATGGAATTTATGGAAAAGTGTTAACACACTGCCATGAAAGATTAGTGTGGAATTATTTAGAATACAAAAATTTGTGATAATTATGTACAAATTCACAACATTAAAAATTTTGGGGAATCATTTAGAAAGTTTTATACTACACAGAAGTAACACATTTTCTCTATATCATATCTTTGGATATTAATCAACATGCTGTCACTCAAAACATTAATTTCCTATTAAAGATGTATATTTTTTTGTATATAAAGACATTTCATAGCATATTTACTTAAATTAATTCCATTTAACATTGAAGAAAAATTATAAGTTGATCGAAGCATGTATGAATATAGAAAAAATCTAACAGTATGCTGCTCAGAAATATTCACAGATTAACATGGATTAATGGAAATAAAGTACATTGCCATTCAAAGATGTAAATTAATACAATTTTGAAGCACAGAAAGTTTTTATCTTTAATAAAATAATTTAACTAATAAGAGGCCTGTTCACAGAACTTACAACAATAAATCCATCTTTTGATGATGTAGCAAACATATCCCCTTTATGTGAAAAGGAAACGTGGAGAACCTGATGATTGTGCTCAGAGATTTCTTCTGTTTCAACCACAGGAGTACCCTCTACTAGTCGATGATATTCTCCACGCCATGAGGTTCGGCCTGGAATTGATGACTGTGTTTTTGTTAACTAGCTTTTCCCCATCTCCTCAATAAGCTAGTCAATGTATCATAAGCAAGCACCTCTACCATGTGCAAGCATCTTGTTAATGATTTACTTTATTTAAAAAATATTATACTGTACATTACCATTAATTAATACGAAACCATACAGCATTCTTAATTTTAACTCAATACAATTTTGGCCAATAAAGATTACATCATATATGAGCAACATAAATTTCATATTTTATCATCTTTATAATAATTAAAAATGTCTTATCACAAGTGATATTTGTAACGGATTTCATATTAATTTTAAGTGTTCATAACCATCACAAACTCCTAGAGTAAGCTCTAAACACTACTGCCACATATTTCATGCAATACCTAAATATCACTTATTCAATTTATTACTTACATTCAGTATCTAAATATTCTAATTAACTTTCCAATCAGAAATTACAAAACTGTACTAAGCTGGTTTCCCTCTCACTAAATGTGTATACATAATTCAATTCATTAAGTTCATTTCTTATGAAAAAGCTGCACTGGGATATTTCAAGTGAGGCATATTGTAATCCGGATTCAAGTGTTCAGTTTCTACAGGATTCTACAGACGTTGCATTACTCTGCAGCAATACTATTTCTAATTGCAAATGACCACATAAGAGCTCAATCATCTTCAGCAACCAATGGATTAGCAACAGGAAGTACTGTACACTACTCTCATAGGTAACTTTAATTTTTGTTCTACTTTTAAATAATTTTTATTTATTCATATCAATATATCAATATTTTCAAGCTTACAGTTCTGTAATACACCCTACTAATATATTAACAGCAGTTACCTGCTGAAATTTGTGTACAGTAATTCATGTCATAGGAAAATAAACTCATTACTACAGATAATGCACTCCATGCTACATATGTTTAAGAGGTAATAAATATTACCAAATGATCAAGTTTATCTTTGTATACCTGGCATGATTGGGACACCAGGATCCACCTGGAAGTCTTTGAAAAAGTAGTATCTCCAGAGGAACTCGTCATAAGACACCCGCAGCCATGACCTAGCAAAGTAGAAAAAGTTCAAGCTACAGTACATTCAATTTACATCTTCATTTGCAAAATACATACACTGAATAGCTATATTAACTACAGTATACTGTATGGACACTTAAAACAAATAATTTACAAAAATCACAGATTATGATTACTAAATTATAAAAAAAAGTACTGTGCAATACAGTACTTGAAATGCCGATGTTCTGTAACCAAAGACTCTATTGATATCTGTTTGTGGATTTTTAGTGTCTTCTACTGACCATTTTCATGCTCATTTTTAAATTGTATGCAAACAATGACACAAAACTGTGATTAGCATTTGTGTATGTTTTATATGAAGATGAGGTGTAGTAGTTGGGGGTACAGAGCTTTTCAATGCTGCACAACGATACAATGAGCAGATAATGAACATATCACCTGCATAATGGTATAATGAACAAACCACTCACCTGCACAATGGTGAAAAGAAGAGACCACTCACCTTCACACTAGAACAAGGAGCACCACTCACCTACACACCAGACCCACGTGAGGCATGTCAGAATATTCCAGGTACATAAAGATGTGCAGGAGGATGCTGTCTGGCAGCACAGTCCAGTCTGGCTTAGGGTGACCAACTACCATCTTCGCTTGCTCACAGACCTATCCAACACACACAATTATTAATTATTTATGCTAAATGCTAACATACGGCACCGAGATCCTCTTTCAAATACTGGAAGATAGGGATTTAGATTAATTTTATCATTACAATATTGAATATTAAATAGGCTTTTCAACTTTATTGCATCTTATTACCTTTTTACTTTTCGATCATGCCATTTCATGCAGTTTCTTTGCTTTTAAGAACAGGGGTAAGCATCCTGCATTGTTAAATTACTGAACTATATAAAAATAACAAAAAATCAAGCATTGGATGTAATGAAATGCCCTATTCTGGTGGGCCTTCAGTAGCTGCCCAAGATAAGTGTTGATACAACCATGATTTAGAAAGATGCAGCAAGCCTCTGAGACTCGCCCTTGCCTACTGGGAGACTGCACCAGAATTTGGCTCGATCTACAAGGCTAGGGGAAATCTTCAGAATCCCCAAAACCGAGAAAATATCAACCTCTCAGAAAGCATAAATGTAACAAAACAAGCAATTGCTTTAAGAAAATGAGGTAGCCACAGGTGACGAGGCAAATGATCATTGCTGCAGTGTAAATGCCATAACTGTGATACACCTGACAAAAATACCTATACTCTACCTGCACCAGTGTATACAATTTTATTTTTATTTATTGCATTGCTTTTGAGTTATGGAACAGATAACCAGGTAACATGATACACTTTGGGTATAAATAGGAGCTGCTTTACATTGGGCATGATGAGGCTTTTTTTTTTTTTTTACCACGATAAATATGCCTTCTAGAGTTTCTCTATTCATTTGGTCCTATGAATATACTTAAAATCACATTGACATATGAAAGGTATAAAATACAAACCTGTCGTAATAAATATTATAACATTCATTTTTCGTGACTCTGTGCAAGGTTCTTATGAAAATCGTAGTTAAATTTTGGTGTCATCAAAATTTAGGGTATAAATTTGAACTAGTTTCCTCACCTTCCCCAGAATGTAACCCATAATACTTGTCTTAGTGCCTCTTGTTAAATATGCATACAGTACTCTGTCAATTTGCCCAAAACGTTATGCGTACTAGTGGCTTTAGATATTGTATGTACTACCTCTATCTTTAAATCAAACAATGTTTTTACTGTAACTCTGCACAGTATGTACTTTTCCTAAATAAATTATTATTATTATTATTAATTAATAAACCACTGAATCATGATTTTCTGTATATTTTTCTTCAATAACAATTATTGTTATTATAAAAGCCCAGTAATAAAGCATTGATGCTTCCTCAGACCAATGAGCATCAGCCTGAATAGTTTAGGCTGGATGCTTAGGCTTGACTAGTCAAGCCTGGTTCATATTTTAGACGTGTCAAATCGTGAGAACAGGCTGGTTGCAGAAGGTGCCACACCTTGGAGCCTGGTTGTTGTCACCTATCAGCCCACTGCGTCTCGCATCTGGGTTTAATCACTTTCTTCTCTGTAATTTGGAGAACGACATATTGCCGTGTAGCTTATCCTTTCGTCGAGACATTCTCACGGATTATTACACGGCACAGTAGTGCCAATGGTCTACCATGGACCCTTCCTACTTTACTATTGACTATTTTCTACCACATGTGTGCGCCTGACAACATGATGCCTCTCGCGTCCATCCTTGCCCCGTCCTCACTTCTCGTCTGGGACTCCTGGTTCAACCTCAATGCTTGGCAGACATCCTGACAGCATAGTTGGATCGCAGCCAACTGGTCCCAAGTTCAATAATCACAACAAGACAGTAGTACTTGTGCAACATTTCCTTCCACTTGCTCTATTCAGCAGTTCGGCAGCTCTTGCGGGTTGCATGCCGAGGAAGGTAAATATCCTAGCCTTAGGGGCCGATAGACTGCTAGCTCCCTGTCCTTGTCGAGCCCACTAGGGCTAGTGGCCCCTCCGGTAAATTATCCCTCCACTATGGGGTGACCGAAGACCTTAGTCTAGGACTCCAGTTACTGCACACTGCTATTGTTAATACCTGCAGGTCACAGGTCACTCCCTGGCTCCTGACACGACGTGAAATAGAACTTTATCATCTATTTCCATTCATGTTTTTTTCTATATATACAAATTATATTTTAACTCCACCATTGGGGCCAATATGCACATAACAGCATTTGTTACAGTATATGTTTCTAGACGTGTATTAATACCTTTAAATGAATATTAATCAATATAGACCCACAAAAAAAAGTATCTGGATAATGTATATCCTCAGACACAACACTCACACCACTTATGAGATGAGAAGATCCAGAGAGGTCAGAGTTGACCTCCCAGGAGCCAGGCAGAGGTCACCGCTGTGAGGTCACACACACACACGGGGGTACGTCCTTCCCACCCCCTCTCTCTCCTCCCCCACCCTTCTCCTCCTCCTGCCTGGTGGAGACTACCTGGAGGTGTGAGTGGTGTGTGTGAGGGTCGTGAGGGTGGTGTGAGAGGGTAGTGTGAGGGGTGCTGGGCTAGACACGACCCTCCTGCACTGCGACCCGTCGGGCTACTTCCGTCCCTTCTATCCCAACTCTCCTACACACGAAAGATATTATTAATACCGCATTTATAAAATGATATATGATTTACCTTACTAATATTTTATAAAGATCCTAATGGAACTTAATTGGCTAATGTGACGAATGAAATAATGAATATTACATCACACTTCTTAATTCTTATTTTGATGGCTGTCGCCACATTTCCCTGCCGTCTATAATAACACACAAATAACCTGTTTCAATACATTATATAGAAATATAAGAAATTGTATCTCTCAAATGCTTTTTGAGGCTGTAATCCCCTTAAAATAAGCCCCTTTATGATGGCAACCTCACCCCAAGGCCCAAAACAAACTGGGTGTATTCGACCATCACTAACTCCTCCCATCTCTAATCATTAATATGTATAATACTCAAATACCCTTCCTTACTTGAATATACATTATTTATGCCAAAAATAATCAGAAATTGCGTATAAAATTGAGTGGAGTTATTTTGAGCCTTAGCACAGTAGTTAGCGCAGTCGGCTCGCAACCGATTGCACCCGAGTTTGATTCCCGGGTAGGATGATACTTTTTATTTTTATTTTGTTAGTTTAGTTACACAAATTTTGCTGAGGATCAACATTTATTTAGTGGCCACGATTGGGCCAGGAAATCGACGGCTTATCAAAGGCCACCCCGTGCCCCCACCCCACCCCGCAAGGAAGATTTTTTTTCCAGCTCGATTTTGAACTGAACCCTTGGCATTTACGGCTCTGGCGGGTAGGCGGTTTCAGGGGGGTTTATACTCTATGGTGAAAAAGCATCTCCTGTTTTCTGTCCTACACTGTGACGTTAAGTTTGAAGCTGTTGCTCCTTGTATGTGCTGCGTGTAGCCTTTGAAAGAAGTGGTCTGCATTAATATCCTCCATTTGTTCGGTATTTTAAGTTTCAGTGAGATCAGCCCTGTCACAAACTGTGTGGTTTGTTATGGTGGTAGTCCGGTGGCCCTCAGCCTTTCCTGGTATGTGAGTCGACTTAGTTCTACGGTGATTTTTGCAGCTCTGTGCCTCTGTAACCCTTTCCACTACCGCCCACAAGATGGGTATGGGGTGCATAATAAATGAACTAAACTAACTAACTGCGTTATACCTTCTCCAAGGCAGATATATATATATATATCTTTTTGGAGGTAGGGTCTCCATGCTTGAATACGGTAATCCAGATTGGGGCGCACCAGAGACTTATGCAATTGAATCATCACCTTTTTTTCCTTAAAGTCAAAGGTTCGTTTGACTATTCCTAGTTTTTTTTATTCCTGCAGCTCCTACTTGTTGTGCAACTTTCAATGACTGGTAGATTCTGACTCCCAGGCCCTCTCCTTTATCAATCTGTTGTATGGTAGTGTTGCTGACTTGATAGTTGTGATGTATGTTGTTATGCCCTACATGCAGGGTCTTGAATTTTTCAATATTAAATATCATTTGCCAGTCTTCCGAGTATGTGTGGAGTTCATGTAGACCTCTCGGTAAGGCCTCAACATCACTTGGTTTATTATGCCACTAAAGCCACTATATTAGTGGCTTTAGGTATTGTATGTACTAGCTCTATCTATAAATCCAACAGTATGTTTGTAACTCTGCATCTATGTATGTACTTTTCCTAAATAAAAATATTATTATTATTATAATGTCCATATCCATCCCGTGGGCGGCGGTGGAGTAATAACAATCACTGTATGCACTACCTACAGTTAGCAAACTTGAGATATAATTCGCCAGCATTTCTGGTAAAATAAATAATTTTGAATGCATACACCATTTCTTAAACATTTGTGATATATATCTTTAAATTAATTAATGTTCACATTCCATTACACAGTAATGCAGGGTGTGTGAGTAATTTTGGTGACACTATTCACATACGGTAATGTTTATATCAGGAGGTGTAATGCAAACTATCAGAAATACTTACATTTCCTGAATATAACTGATGATCATGTAACATGTCGTAGCTCAGTCGATTAAGGCAGCGTCTGATGCCTTAATCGCACCAGATAACCAGGTAACAGATGGACGAACCTGCGTCCATCTCGGACGCAGGTTCGAATCCTCATCACGGCCCTTGTGGATTTGTTCATGATCATCTAATTTACTGGCTTCAAAGCCGGCGGCTTGTCAAAGGTCCCTATATATGTTACCGAGTCCAAGCAAAACAGCAGTAACCTCTAGAAGTCTGCTTCATTGTCATCATTCATCAAGTCCTAACTGCATTATTGTCATACTCATCTATGACAAAAACTTTCGCTGTCATGTTCGCCCTTGTAACCTTGATATAGTCAGTAATTTTTAAAACAAAAGACTAAATCAGTGCGAGAAAAAGGAAACCATTTCATTTAAAACTTTAACCCAAATATCACAGTAACAAGGTTATCGTAAATAACCAAACCTAAATAAAATTGTATTGTTGTATTGTATTGTATTGTAACCGAACTCAATCACGGGCTCACTATAGCCTGTGCTACATGGACATTTTGTTCCCAGCAGCTGAATCTAAAACAACAAGTCAGTAATCCGAGGTACTCAAGGCTACAAGATCGTCAAGGCTATAGCAGTGATGGCTATGTCATGTATGGGGCATCGATGGAAGTCTTACAATATACTGCCCGTGGTGTAACCCAAGTTTCTCACCCAATGGTCGTGAAATCTGACGATGTTTACCGATGGCTGAGTTCAATGTCCGCTCTGCTGTCTACACTCGCATTCCTGCTTGACCGTAGGAAGAGATTATGTCGTGGACCACAGATGCTAATACAATTTCCTTTAAAAATGCTGATAGACCTACTTTTTACTAGGTTCATTTTACATTTTTATAAAGTACCTCTCACTCCAGTATGTTTTGCCTTAACACGCAGATTAGGGAGCTGATCTTCGATAAATTTCAGCGAGAGGATGAGGCAATTTGGGAGAGTGGCGACGAGGAGGGGAAGGGGGGAGGGGGATGAAGGTGATCTAGAATCGATCCCTGGAAGTGAAGGTTGCATGTAGTGAAAGCGAAAATGATGTCCCGCACGAGAGGCGGACGGAAAGACGTTCTAGATGATCGACTACCATCATTGGGTCCTAAGAGACCCAAAGGAAGGGACGGGTCGTGGGAGGGAAGGAAGAGACGGGTCGTGGAAGGGAAGGAGGAGTTAAAACGGGAAGGAAGCGTGTCAAAAGTCGGAATTTACCCAACATCGACTTAATTACCGTTTTTGATCCATTTCACAAGGATTACCTCGCAAGGGTCACTTGACTAATACCCAATTTCTCAAGAGCCACTTCATAAAGACTTTTTCACACGCTCACATCACCATTTCGAGTCTTTTCACAAGGGTTCAGTCACCATTCTGGACCGAGGACCACCTCCATCGTTTCAGACTAATTTACAAGGACCACTTAATCGCACCGGAGCATTTCACAAGGATCCCGTTCACCGTTCTGGACCATTTCACAGGGATCCCGTTCACCTTTCCGGACCATTTCACAGGGATCCCGTTCATTGCTCTGCACCATTTTCATGTCATGGAAGAGTCGCTAATGTGGTACCAATTTTTAAGAAAGGAGATAGATCACTTGCGTCAAACTATCGGCCAATTAGCCTAACGTCTATTGTGGGAAAGTTACTTGAATCAATAATTGCAAATACAATTCACATCACCACCAAGGCCACCAAAATTAGACAGAATGGAAGCAAAGCATCTATGGGATGAAATATCTAGAGCATCTAGATCTAACAGTATTTATGTCATGGGTGACTTTAATTTTAGCGGAATAAACTGGTTGAACAAAACAGGGAATAGTGAAGCAGAAGATTTTCTAGAATTAATTGACGATTGCTTTCTTACGCAACACATTAAGGAACCAACACGGGAAAATAATATTTTAGATTTAGTGTTAACTAACAGGGAAACGCAAATTAATGACATCGAAATAGGGAGTGAGCTAGGGAGCAGTGAAGAACATAAGAACATAAGAACAAAGGTAACTGCAGAAGGCCTATTGGCCCATACGAGGCAGCTCCTATTCTATAACCACCCAATCCCACTCATATACTTGTCCAACCCGTGCTTGAAACAATCGAGGGACCCCACCTCCACAATGTTACGCGGCAATTGGTTCCACAAATCAACAACCCTGTTACTGAACCAGTATTTACCCAAGTCTTTCCTAAATCTAAACTTATCCAATTTATATCCATTGTTTCGTGTTCTGTCCTGTGTTGATACTTTTAATACCCTATTAATATCCCCCCGGTTATGTCCATTCATCCACTTGTAAACCTCTATCATGTCACCCCTAACTCTTCGCCTTTCCAGTGAATGCAACTTAAGCTTTGTTAATCTTTCTTCATATGAAAGATTTCTAATTTGGGGAATTAACTTAGTCATCCTACGCTGGACACGTTCAAGTGAATTTATATCCATTCTATAATATGGCGACCAAAACTGAACTGCATAATCTAAATGGGGCCTAACTAGAGCAAGATATAGCTTGAGAACCACACCAGGTGTCTTGTTACTAACGCTGCGATTAATAAATCCAAGTGTCCGATTTGCCTTATTACGAACATTTATGCATTGATCCTTTTGTTTTAAATTCTTACTAATCATAACTCCCAGATCCCTTTCGCAATCCGACTTCGCAATCACAACACCATCTAGCTCGTATCTTGTAACTCTATCATCATTACCTAACCTCAGAACTTTACATTTATCAGCATTAAACTGCATCTGCCAATCCTTTGACCATTTCAAAACCCTATCTAGATCAACTTGAAGTGATAGTGAGTCCTCCTCCGAATTAATTTCCCTACCGATTTTCGTATCATCGGCAAATTTGCAAATGTTGCTACTCAAACCTGAATCTAAATCATTTATATATATTATAAACAACAGAGGTCCCAGGACAGAGCCTTGAGGCACTCCACTTACAACATTTTCCCACTCTGACTTGATTCCATTTATACTAACTCTCTGTTTCCTTTGGTATAGCCATGCCCTAATCCAGCTTAATATAGCACCCCCAATACCATGAGACTCTATTTTTTTAATCAGTCTTTCATGTGGCACTGTATCAAAAGCTTTGCTAAAGTCAAGGTATACAACATCGCAATCCTTACCACTATCAACTGCCTCAACAATGCTAGAATAAAAAGATAACAAATTTGT